ACAACATGTCTTTCTAAATATAAATATAGGTCATAGAAATGGAATTACACACAAAACCTATTTATGTGTATGGTTAAGTTTATCCAAAGTAAATTTCAGAAAGTTATCATTGAGATCTGAATCAAATTTGAATTCTAAAAATTGATTTTGATAATGTCAAAATAATGTAGTTATATAACATTCTTTCTAATATTCTTGAATTCATACTTGAAATAAGTAAATATATTATTTCATGTTTCATATTTCAGCCTGTGCAATCCCACCTCTTAATGATAACTTCCAGGAGATCTACATGGTAGTATTCTTAAAATACTCTTTTATTTTACATAATCAAGAGGATCTGCGAGTAGTAAAATGGAACAGTAGATGAACAAAAGCTAACTTTTAAAGTTAACTTTTGGGAATTAGAATCTTTTTTGTATTATAGTAAGCACAGAAAGCCAACAATTTTTTAGCAGTTTTAAAAAAAATTTTTAGTTATAGACAGACACAATACTTTTATTTTATTTATTTATTTTTAAGCTGTGCAGAAGGTGGAACGCAGTGCCTCACATGTGATAAGCAAGCTCTCCACATGGAGCTACAATCCCAGCCCCCAAAGCAAACAATTTTAAAATAAAACAAATGCTTTAACTGAAAATTCCTATTATGTGTGTAGCTCATAGAGGTTAATACATAGCATTAATGATAAGGCTTACTCTRAAATCTTTTATATTCACCTTCGGAGAATCTCTACCAGCCAATAGGATTTGTATAAGCTAATTTTCTGTGGTTAATATTACAAAAATAATAGTTGTTACTGTTTGTTTATAATTATAGAATTAAATATTTATTTCCAAATGGTGGAAAGGATGGTTGTACTCCCAGATGAGAATTGTGCTCTAACTCATCATGATATGAATATATGGATATGTTCTTTTCATCTTTTCTCCTCTAGTTTTGTAGTATTTGTTAATTAAGCAAACTGAAATGTCATTTGTTATCAGTTGTAAATTTATATTTTGAGCAATTCGATGTGATGTCAGACTTCATTTTTTACTCATGTTTTCCAAGAAATGTATAATTATAATTACTTTTTAAAAATAGTTGTAGATGGACATTATAACTTCATTATTTATTTATTTATTATGTGGTGCTGAGGATCAAACCTAATATCTTACACATTCTAGGCAAGCACTCTACCACTGAGCCATAACCCTATCCCTATAATTAGTTTTTATATTGCAAAACATCTGTGGGGAACTTCCATATCAGAGGATCTTTGGCCTGGGATTTTTTTTTAATTCAGGGGCACTTGATCGCTGAGCCACATCCCCAACCCTATTTTGTATTTTATTAGAGACAGAGTCTCACTGAGTTGCTTAGCACCTTGYGATCCTCCTGCCTCAGCCTCCCAAGCCACTGGGATTATAGGCATGTGCCACTGCCCCTGGCTAGCCTAGGATTCTAATATTTTCTATTTCAAATCATTCTTTTTCTCCAAGCTAAGTAATAATTTTCCTTAGTCCCAGAGGTAAATAAAGGTATTTACAGAAGTCAGTATATATGTCTAGATGGTGTATACCCACAGTGCTAATTTTGATTCTGGCTTTGTGACCAAGCTGAATTTCTTCCTGGTCCTTGCAGAGTTTCACTTTGAGTTTCACATCCAGTCATCAAGAGATATAAAATAGTACAGTCTTAGAAATTCTGGGAATACCTTGGAAATAAGAACCATTAAATATCTCTCCTAGGAGCTGGGGTTGTGGCTCAGTGGTAGAGAGATCACCTCGCACGTGTGAGACCCTGGGTTTGATCCTTAGCACCACATAAAAATAAATAAGTGAAATAAAGGTATTGTGTCCAACTACAACTAAAAGATAAATATTTTTAAAAAATGTCTCTCATAGGGCCCAGATCTTTGAGGTCACCTGTTTTATTAAACAAATTTTCATAGTGGCCGAGTGTTCTAGTGTATAAGATTTCCAATACTACATTTTTTTTTAACTGTTGTCTCTATTGTCTGAAGTGCACAACTGATAGGATCTGTTTAAAATCTGTGATAAAATTAGAACAGACATATGTTTTTTTAAAAACATTTCTGAGGTTATAGAGCTCAGAATTTTGCAAAAGCTATGGATGTATGCATGGTTATACAACATTTTACATATAGTTTTAGGGAAATTATTGAGCTCTAAAATCCACAAATCCCAAGATAAAAATCTGCTCTGGGAGCATTGGTGCTCCAGGCACTTTAACTCTCTTTAAGTTTAGATTGATGTTGAACTTTTTCAACTTCTCTTTTCTCTCTCTTTCCCTTTCTAAAGTTAAGTACGGGGGTTTTTCTCTTACATCTCTATTTTGACTCTAATTAGATTTGAGTGTTCTGGAAAAACATCAATTAAAATGCTTGTCTCTGTCACAAGTGAAAATAAGAAGAGTTGTTTATCATTTTGAAAGAACTGTCCCTTAAAATGAAACCTTGGAATGGTATGGATTTCTATTTCTCTGAACAGCTATTACTACTGCTGTTAAAGCATTAGTTTTGCAATATTTTTACTTTTGTTTTTTGTTGTTTTTTGTTTTTCATWACTGGGGATTCAACCTGGTCTTTGCACATGCTAGGCAAGTGCTTAACCACTGAGCTATATACCCAGCCCAAAGTATTTTATTTTTGAAAGGCTTATAAGCCTCTATTTAAACTTTAATTCTTTTCCCACGTTGAGGCTCTCATAGTTTAGTAAACAGTTTGCCAATAGACATATTGGATACTGTAATGGGAGAAGGTCATCATTCATTCTGTGCCTGTCCAGTGACTTAAACTGGTAAGTTTCTCTTCATTTCCAAGTTTATTTTATTTATTTTTGATGCAGAGTCTTGCTGTGTTGTCAAAGTAGGCCTTGAACTGGCAATCATCCTGCCTCAGTAGTTAGGACTACAGGTTTTTGCCATGAAGCGTGGTTCTAAGTTTACTTTCAGCTGAGGTTTAAGAACTATTTAAGGTCTTTGGAAAGTTGACCTGTCCTTGGAGGTAACACGGATATCCAAAGGATTGGAAATATGCATTTTTACCAGTAGTAATAAGGGCAATAAACAAAATTAAGGGAGGATACAAAGAGAGAGAGTGATGGAAATGGTGCTGTTTTAATAGATTGGCGAGGAAAGCCCTCTCCGAGATGGTGGTGTATGTGTGGAGGCCTAAACAAAAGTGAGGAAATGAGGAGTTGTGAAAATTCTGGAAATATATTTGCTGTACTTGTGATGCTTTAGCAGGCATAGGTGGCTAAAGTAGAAAGGTGGAAGAGCAGAATGATAGGACTGACAGGAGTTATATAGAGCTTTACAGACTATGATGAAAGACTGGATTTCATTACAGGTGTGATGGGGTGCTATTGGAAAAGTGTGGGCAAGAGAGCTGTAATCCAATTTATGTATTTAAAAGTATCCCCCTGGATGTTTAGAGATGGTGGCAGGGAAGATGATGAGCAAAGAAAACAGTAACAGCAAACATACCATTACTTTGTGACCTGAAATGTATGTAGTACCAGTGCAATGAATTTTAACACAAATTGTTAAATTTTATCCTAGCATGGAGAAAGAAGTTCTGATATGTATATGACTCAGCTCTCACTTCATATCTTTCTTAGAGATGAGTAGTTTAGTGAAAGTCACTGAAATCCTAGAACTTTAAGATTAATAATTTTTAAAAATGGTTTCCATTTGCTTGAAGTCTTCTTTCTGATTAAAAACAGTAAAAAAAAAAAGGTCTTTATAGAAAATTTGGAAAAGGAAACAAAAAGCAATCATCTGTAATACTATCACATAGGAATAGTATTTTAAAGAACTCTTGACAGTTATTTCTCTTTGCAACACTTCAGGATGATGCTATTTCTGTGCACACATTTGCATGGAAATGGAAGGAGACCCTCATTGTTATACAAAATTACATATAAGAGGTTGTGAAGGGAATGGGAAAAAAAAACGAGAGAAATGAATTACAGTAGATGGGGTAGAGAGAGAAGATGGGAGGGGAGGGGAGGGCGGATAGTAGAGGACAGGAAAGGTAGCAGAATACAACAGTTACTAATATGGCATTATGTAAAAATGTGGATGTGTAACCGATGTGATTCTGCAATCTGTATACGGGGTAAAAATGGGAGTTCATAACCCACTTGAATCTAATGTATGAAATATGATATATCAAGAGCTTTGTAATGTTTTGAACAACCAATAAAAAAAAAAGAAAAATAAATAAAGTAAAGGCCCATTGACAACTTACAAAAAATTAAAAGATAAAAGGGATGGGGATGTGGCTCAGTAGTTGAGTATAATTGGGTTCAATCCCCAGTACAAAAAAAAAAAAAAAAAGAGAGGGTGGGGAAGAGGGAGGCCGAATATCTTTTCATGTTAGGGGATTGTGCCTCTTTTTTTGTGTGTGTGAAATTCCAATTCACTTTTGTTTTTCACTTCTCAACTTGTTTTTCCCTTTTTATCCATAGGAATCTTTATATAGCTTAGACACTAAWAATTTCTCAACTGAATCTGTTGCAAATAACTTCTTAGTAACTAATTGGATGTGGGAAGTGAGGGAGTAGTAGTAGTATAGAAGTATTTCTGTTTCTGGTTTGGGAACTGTGTGGATGATGTGCAGCTTTCAACTAGGACATTAGAATAGAGTAGAAGAAACAGATCTAAGAGAGAATAAATTTGCAATATTTTGTAATTTGAAGTCCCTATAGAATGTTCAGAGGGAGTTGTCGCATAGAAACTTGGTTATAGTGGTCTGAAACAGTCCAAGGTCTCTCATACTACATTGCTTATATAGGAATCTTATATAATGGGCCTTTCAGGAGACTAAAGTTGGAGAGAGTGTGGTAATTCTCCAACTTGTTTGTCTTCTACTCATCCCAGCTTCTCCAAGCCATGGATTTTCCAATATAAGCTCCTTATGAAATAAATGTTCCAGTCAGAGACCCACAAGACACTTCATCTTAGTGATAATTTCTTTATTACCTTCATGGTCTTACAACAGTTATGTAATCTTTTTTAATATTTCCAGGACAGCACATCATTTTTGTTTTGAAAACCATTCAACACATTTGTCTTATATAACATGCAAAGCATATATCTAGATTTTAAAATTTCCCTACTAACTCATTGGTCTGTAGTATTTAATTATACAAATTATATTATTTCATATAYATTGAAAACAATATAAAAATATATCTCTAAGAACTCCTTTTACAGTCTTTCATTAAATAACAATATTTACACATAATTTCCAGACATATYCAACTTCCTGTAGGTATTTGGAATTATGTGTATGTAACCACTGAAAAAATATGAATTCCTGGGGGGGATGGCAATAAAAACCCACAAAGTAAAGATTATTCATTAATAAGCAGATTTTATACCTTTGGTTGCATACCTTTAGTTATTTAAGATTTTGATAAATCCAGAAGTCAAAAGGATCCTTTAATAACCCTTAGCAGATAGGATAGGTGAGGAAAGTGTCAGTAGCAGGCTAGGACTTGGCACATTTGCTAGGAAGGTAGCACCTCAACATAGCTTATAGTGTAGTGCCAGGACAGAGTAATTATTAGTTATTAGAGCTATTACTAGCTATTAGTAATATAGCTAGTAATTCTTACTACTAGAGAAATTACAGCTCAGGATAATAAACCACAGGAGGTATAGCAGCTAATTTGATGACTGTCGTTGGTCACTTTTCAGGAGAACTACAAACTAGGAACAGTTAGAATTCAACATATACTCTCTGTGAGGAAGTAATAGAAATATCTTCTTTGTGGTCCATCTTTCTCAGCACTGCAGTGATTTTGCTTATCTCTGGTTTCAAGATGATCTTTTAGACCTGTAAGAAGAGAAAAGGAATATGAAAGTTGTATAGACTCTGGAATTAGTCTGGGTTCTGCTTAAAATAAACTGAGTATATAGATAACCCAAAGATCCTCAGGTAAAGCATGAGCTTCACGTCTGAGTAAATGCAGGTAGAAAAAGGCATGATAGTAACATATGTTTAATCCAAGGGTCGCACAGTAAAGCCCAATGCAAATGTGGCTAACTTCCCAGGATTTCCATTCCTTAAAGAGCAGTTGTTCTGCAAGCAACAACAAACCTACCTTTCGATCCTAAGTGCTTTCAGTAAATTCTTGATGCCTTTAGATTCTGGATTCAGACATCTCTTCTCCCCGCTCTTTTTCATTGTGGCACTGTAGAAGTAAGTAGGAGTAAAAATATTTAAAACAATGTTGAGGCTACAAAGTAGATGGAATACACAGTTCCAAAGTCAGACATCTAAGTTTCACTGTAGATATTTTCCTCTTCTATACAATAGTGTTCATCACAAACCCTTTACTGATCTTTTGTGATAATCATCACATGTTTAAAATACTTTACAATCAGGGAGGTGACCCTCAGATGGAATTTTACTCACATGATCTCAACACGTGGACAAGATTSACTTGCAGGAATAAGTTCAAGTTTTTGTAATGATTTTGGATTAACAGGTYGATTACTAATCTGGATGCAGTTGCAGCGTGTTGTTCTTGAGAGCGGCATTCCTGCAGGAAGAGCAACAAGATGGCAGGGAAAATTAGTACAGGTCTCATAAGACATGTGGATTGGTAGTATTTAGTGGAATCCTATCCCTATATTGTTATATAGTCACTTAATCTGAGGGGGAACGTTTCCTATTGTAACACAGCTCTAAATGATATAATAGCTGATTATCTTGAAGAGGGGAATTGTAACTTGTTGATTATAAAGTCACCCTTGGGCACAGTTCATGTAATGGAGCAAGCTTAGCTAGGTAAGGAGTATCTGGGTCTTATCCTCTCCTCATTTCCTCACATTTTTTTCTGTCCTCCTTTTTTTTTTTGTACCAGGGATTGAATCCAGGGATGCTTAACCACCGAGCCACATTCCCAGCCCTTTTTATATATTTTATTATGAGACAGGGTCTCGCTGAGTTGCTAAGGCTGTATTTGAATTTGAGATCCTCTTGCCTCAGCCTCCTGAGTGGCTGGAATTACAGGCATGCGCTACCTCCACCAGCTTCTCCCTTTTTTTATCTTTTCCTTCACTTCCTCTATCCCTCTTTTTTTTAATTCTACTTGTTTCTTTTACTTCAGTCATATAAACTGTGACCAGAGGTAGTAATCTCTGCTTATTGCCCTCTCATTTTTATAGACACACTGAAACTTGAAAATATACTATTTCTATATTGTATATAGAATTTATACCCAGTCCTGCTTTTTGATTTCATAAATTAAATATTCCTTAATATTTCTTACCTTGAGTTCCACTGAGAGTAAGAAAGATGAGGCAGAAAATAAAAACAGCACTTTGGTTCATGGTGCAGAGACCAGAAGTTCCTCTGTAGTAGGCTCAAAGTTTAAGCAGTTGAGGAGTGTCTCTTAAAATGTGGAGCTGGTGTGCAGTATTTATATGCAAAGGCATTTTCCCTCCCTAACTCTGATTGGATAACAATTGACTCAGCAAAATCTGCTGGCTAGTCTTTGGGGAAGTCCCCTGTTGCAAAATCAAAGGAATTATTTGTATTTATTATAGCCTCCGAGTTATGGAATTTCCCCCTGTCCTTTCTTTTCAGTGAGTTAGGTTTCACTTTCCAAAATATAAACTGTTTCTTGAAAATCAGATCTTTATTGCATACAGAAATAGTTTTTTTTWAATGGACATTTAATTCTCACATTTGCCTCCTGTAAAATATCAAATTAATCTTTAAGTCAAAGTCCTAAGTACAATTTTTAAGTAAGTAGGCCTTAATGTGTTTTGCATCATTCTTTTAAAATTTTTTTCCTATATGTTACGTTGACAGAGGCATCCAAGTCAGGAAATCCTCTGGGCAGTAGTAAAAGAAACCATTAATGCTGAGGGCAGGAAACCACAGTTCCTTTGGGGACTGAGCAGGGCAGAGATTCCATGAGGAGGAAGGGAGGGGAGGGAGTTAGGGAAAGAGGGAGAGAGGATTGTCTGCATTCTCCAACACTGTGTCCATCTTAATTTGACTCCATAGGCATGAATGGGAATATTTTACGTTATTTACTGTTACAGGTTTCAGAAGCATTATACGTTGCCATTTTCTCCCATAGTTACCCTGTAAAGAAGGYAGTAAAGTTATTTTCATTTCACAAGTGGAAGAAGAATCTTGAGAGGTTTGATGTTTGTATTAGGTTACAAACTGGTTGCTGTCCATTTATTGTATTGTAACTGGTACATTTTTCCAGTATTTATTTTAAATTTTTGTGATTACTTTCACAGAAGTATATTTTAATAGTCTGTTACTTCTCATTGATAGCAGATGAAAAACTGCTAATTGTGAGTTAATTTTGGGTGATAGCAAGTTGTATCTGATGACAGGTGATTTAGCTGAGCTGTGCCCTTTGATCAAGTACTAAAAAGTTGGTCTTGGACAAGGTAAAAGATATGGAATTGGTAAATTTCAAAGAATTCCATAAATACTTTGGCCATTTATAATATCATTAGAATAAATGAATAGCCTCCAATGTAAATATTTTGAGAGAAACTCTAGTCATTTGGATATCTGATTTCTGGTGTGTTAAAACAAGTTTCATTTTTTTAGAGTCAGTCCCTGAATGAAAATATCATAAGATGGTATCTAGAATAGTGTGAGGAAAGGATTCATAGCTATAATAGTGTTATTATAGCTATGAGGAAATAAATTGAAAATGGAGTATGATTAGAAACAGACCTTGGGAAAACAGCTTGAGACAGGAGGGAAATAAATCGATTTAATGCAGGATTCAGCTCCAGGAGACAACTTCAAAGAAAAGGGAAAAAAAACATGTCAGCCATTGAGCTGATAACAATGATAACTGAAATTAGCACAGTTTCAGCTGGATAAAAATAGAGATAAAATTCGGGTTTCTTAGCATTCAGTAGTACTTGATGGTTATTACAGTAAATGACAACAATACAAAGCATGTGATACCCATATAGTGGAACACATGATAGACCTGACAGTTGAAATTTAATAGTATCTGAAGGATATCGTGGGTGTGGGTTTTTTTGCAAGTGGCAACCAGGTATCTGTCAAATGCAGGCATCACCCTGCAGTATTGAGGCAGTTGATACTGGAAATCTAGAAAAATATATGGGTAGTCTTTCATAGTCAAGTAGGATACAACATTTTAGGGATAGGCTATGAAATAGCATTGATTCCATTCTAGATCAGGTCAGTGTACCTGACAGGTACTGGTACAAAACTTGGCATCAGATGCTGAGAATGAAGCCCATATCTACAAACTGGGCACACATGACACTTGGAACCTCAAATGTAGGAAGTACATCATCAGAATAGGGAGTGGGCTAACATTTGAAGCAGGTGGAAATGCTAGAGCGCTAAATATTAGGTTAATCCAGGGACTAGAACAGAACTAAACTTATAAATAGTTAAGTCAKTGGGTTTTGCTGTGATAAACTGGAAGGGCAAAAGGAAGAGCAATGAGGCAGGGGTCCACAGAACCTAGATTTTCATCTAGCAAAATGGATTTGCTTCTGATGAGAGAAAAGCTTAGGAAAGATAGAGACATGGCAGGGTCTTCCTGTACCTGTGTGCAGAATAAAAATTGGACTGTGAGTAAGAATGTCATTTCAGAGATATCCCTGACAGCAAGAATGGAAGAGGTTCTGAACATTTAGACATTAAACAATTAAATAGATATATGGAAATATTTTCACTTTTGATAGCATCTAAGTTCTCAGCCTAGATGCTGTCTAATAACAAAGTAAAAGGATATTTGAGGCAGAAAGTTGATAAGTGAACTAAAAATATTTTCTTAAGGAGCAGATATTTCTTATTGATATTTTATTTGCTATCTTATTTTTTATTGGGACATTATAATTATGAGGTTAATTGTTGGTTGATTTCATTCCATTGAATTGATTTTTAAACATAGCATAAACGGAATTAGGCATTTTTTTWAATGCTTTATGAATATTGACTCATTTAATCTTTGTAATAAGTAACTCTGGCTCCATGTTCTCAGCCACTTTTTAATGTATCTTCTGGAGAGAAAATATTGTTTTTAATTTGGATTTTTGATTTCCATTGCTTCTGTTTAATTAGCTGGAATAATTTTTGAGATTATTTTGGTGCTTCAGGAATTAAACACCTATTATACAGTGGAGAAAAAAAACAGTGTCTTTAATAAGCATTACTGGCAAAACTGGATATGCATATGGAAAAGAATGAAACTAGATCCCTTCCTCTTACCATACACAAAAATCAACTAACTCAAGGGCTGGGGTTGTGGCTCAGCGGTAGAGCACTCACCTTACACTTGGAGACCCTAAGTTTGATCCTCAGCACCACATCCAAAAATAAACAAGTGAAATAAAGGTGTTGTGTCCAACTAAAAAAAAAAAAAATCAACTTAAAATGGACCAAAGACCTAAATCTTAAACATGAAATTACTATAAGAAAATAGGAGAAACACTTAAAGACAGTTGGTTAGACAATGATTTTTTTGGATAGGACCTCAAAAGTACAGACAACAAAAGTAAAAATAGACAGATGGGATTATATCAAACTAAGAACCTTCTATACAGCAAAGGAGTCAATAGAATTAAGAGCCTACAGAATGGAAAARAATATTAGCAAATGGTACATCCAACAAATAATTAAAATCCAAAATATATAAGGAACTCAAAAAAGCTGAACACCAAAATAAATCAAACAATCCAGTTTAAAAATGGGCTAAAGCATTAAGCAAATACTCTTCAAAATAAGGCATACAATGGCCAAAAAATACATGAAAAAAGCTCAATTTCATTCATCTTTGGAGAAATGCAAATCCAAATTCACAATGAAGTATCATCTCATCTCAGTTAGAATGTCATTATCAAAAATATAGGAAATAACAAATGCTGGCAAAAATTTGGAGAAAAGAGATTTTTATTAGGTCCCTAACCCAGGGACATTATACTACAGAACTACATTCCCAGACCTTTTTATTTTATTTTGAAACAAGGTTGCCCAGGCTGGCCTTGAACCTTCCATCCTCTTGCTTCAGTCTCCCAAGTAGCTAGGATTATAGGCATGTGCCACCATACCTGGCACAGAGGAAAGTGTACTGATTTATGCCAAAAGTGCTTAGAAGATCTAGAATTCAGAAAAAGCAAACAAAAAAGCCTGAGATGAGCCTCAAACTTAAGACAGGTGGCCAGGAGAGAAAAGCATACACAATAACAGAAATGGCACAAAAARATAGTGTAGAACAAAGTCAGCCAAGCAGTCAGGAAGGTTAATAGAGTTTAATTGGTATGGCATTACCTTGTCAGGATTCGGTCTTCATTTTTACAGGTTCAGAAATGCCTGTTTTTCCTAATCCAGAGTTAAGTATGTTTACAGAGAGTTACTTATGTAAATTAAAACTATAAGAGACTAAATGCAAATTAAAGGGACTTCACTAGTTTGTAATGAGTATGTTCCTACTCATGGTTGATTCTGGTATCTAGATTATCCTTTTCTAGGATCAAAGTCCCTGGAAGTTGAACTAGCAATCAATACATTGCCTGGTGAGAACAGAATCAAAACAAAAGATCCTTTTCTTCTTGTTTTGAATGGGTGTCTGCTTGGGAGAGAAATCCTATAAATATGATCAAAGTGGAAAATGTTTAGAAAAAAAAAATCAAACTTAACATAGACATTAGCTACTATTACTTATTCTACCTACAACCAGCCCTTGCATGGATCATTTGAATAAAAATCTTAATGATAGATCTTTTAAAATTTATTTTTCTATCAATTCTTGCAAGGCTTTTGGCAGATTCACTTTCCTAGTATTCACTGATCCTAGTCTAGTTTTGAAAGAAAATGAGAGTTAAGGAAATACCTCATTTCAGTTTCAGTTTTAACTGTCGTTTATCTTAAGCCTCTGATTATGACATCAGGCCCCAAACAAAGCAAAACAAAAAATAGTCTGCCCTGACAGGCTTGTTAGGACAGATGGGGTTGGTGKGGAGAGCTTTCTGAGAAACTACTATGCTTAGAAGAAATTTCCTAAAAAGTGAGCAGAAAGAAGAACTTTAGTAGGCTGGAAATTCCCTCAGCTGGGATAGGGTACTCTGGTAAATATGGGAGAGGAGGACAAAGGAGAACTTGATAGTTTTGACTTTGAGCTCTCAAAACATTCCCTTAGCTGCTCAGTATCTAGTAATGTTGGTTTATATTTTGAATTACCATGTGTCTCAACCTGCACAACTTGAGCAGAGTGCACAGACACAGTGAGTGTGTGTGAAAGTGAATAGCTAGATCTTTATAATCATCATACTTGGAAGGGCTGAGAATAGTTTCTGTTCAGATACATTTTAGACCATGCAAAGTTTTAACCTTCATCACACTTGATGGGATGAAGGAGATGGTCTAGGAATGTAGTATGTAGTTCTATCTTTCACTTGTTCTCTGATCTTGGACAAATTAGATCTGTGTGCATTTCAGGGTATTTTTGTTTTGTTTTGAATCTTCAAGTGAACATTTTAATACTAATCCATCTACCTTTCAGGTTATTTTAAAGATGATAGTAGATTAAGAAGGTCACTGGCCAGAATTTCAGAAATATAGCCATCTCTCTGGCAATGAAAAACATTCTTTTTGGATGATGCCATTTTTCTTGCTCAGTCGGCCTGACCAGTATCAACAGGAGTATATATCAGATTTGAAAGGAAACAGAGGATATTTGTACTTGTGATTTTGAAACGATTTTAAAGATTTTACTTAGAGTCCTAGGCAGGATTAAAGGAATKAATAAGGGGATGTCAAAAATGTTCAATAGAAAGATGTTTTTGTATCTCAAAGGCAAAGTAGAGAAGCCCATTGCATATTAACACAGATAGCATACTTTTATGAAAAATAGCTATATTTTTCAACAAAAAAGTTTGAAAAGTCACTTTGTTTTAGTTTTGCAAATACAGTGTATTATTCATTTATTTTTTCACCATTACTACCTTAGGTTAGCCCTTATTTTTTTACTGTGGTAATATACTCCTAACATAAAATTTCCTTTTTAGCCCTTTAAAAGTATACTACTAGTGGAATTAAGTACATTGTCAGTGTTGTGTAACTATCACCATAATCTAGTGCCATAATCTAGTGATAATCTGTTTTATCACCTCAAACAGAAACCTGTGTCTATTTAGCAGTCATTACCCATTAAACCCTCCCCAGAGCCCCTGCCAGCCCCTGATCTAGTGCCTAATTTTTAAAGATTTTCCTATTCTAGATATTTAATATAAAATGGTATCATATAATATATGATCTTGTTAGGAGCTTAGCTCAGTGGTAGATAGAACACTTGCTGACTTTCGMGAGGCCCTGTTTGATCCCCAGAACTGCAAAAACAAACTATGGTTTTTCGTGTCTGGTTTCTTTCACCCAGCATAATGCTTTTAAGATTCATCCATGTTGTAGGACTTATCAGAACTTCATTTCTTTGTATCACTGAAAAATATTCCATTGTGTGTATATTTCACATTTTGGTTTTCCATTCATCTGTTGATGGCTATTTGGGTTGATTCTATCTTTTGGTTGTTGCTTAGTGCTGCTATGAACATTAGTGTACAAGTATTTTTTTTAAACCTTTAGATATATGCAAAGGAGTGGAATTGCTGGTTCATGTAGCAGTTCAGTCTAATTCACTGCATAATGTCGTTATTACTTTTCATGTGTTTCTCCCAACATATGGGACAATACCAGGTGGCTCATTGATAATGACATTTGATAGCAATTAATTACTTTCTTTAACTTCAGTCCCTTTGATTAAATCAGTGTGGTATTAGCATGGTTTTCAAACACTTTGCTAACTGTTTTCATCTCCTTYTTAATAAATACAGGCTTAAGTTCAGAACCTTTGACATACAAAGCTATCTAGTTAGAATTTGGTATTTTTTTCTATACTTTGTGTTATCATTTTATTTCTATAGCATTAATATTGATTTCACATGGATAGCAGTGAAATTTTGCTTTTCCTGTAAATGTAAATGAAATAAAGAGGTACACAATTTGCAAAAATATTATGAAGATTGAACAGAGACATAATAAAGAATCTTAAAGATGGTATGAGAAAGACTTGAAATTTGGAAATAAAGACCTGAGCAATTGCAACATATTCCCAACTCATTTTCCCTTCCTCATTTGTTCCTACTTCAATCAGCCCTTTTTGTCATTCCTAGAATAATTTAGAATAACTTGGAATAGGATCATTCTCTCATTGGTGAATATTTAATGAATCCCCATTTTGTGCAGAATAAAAGGGAAAGGTTGTTTAGCTAGACATGATACTCCTTATCCTTCACTCCAACCAAATGAATCTAGTTACTATTCCAGAAAATCACCTTGTACTTTCTTACCACTGTGTATTCCTTCATACCATTCTGGGCTGTAAGTTCCTTTTCCCTTAGTTTCTATTACCATAGAAATAGGCATTGTACTGTGGAGTAGAAGAACTACAGTGGCTTTCATATTGAACTTGCCCTTGTGGGAAGAACAGATACTAAATAGAGAAATAATTCTTTTGTTACAATTGCAATAAATAATGTGATGAAAAGTAAAGAATGTTATGAAAACAAATAAATAGAACACTTAATCTAGTTGGGATTGAAGAGGTGGTTTCTTAGGCTTCTTGGAGAAAATGTCATTTAGGCTGAGATTTAAGTGAAAAGTGGGCAGAGAGAATAATGTTTTCAAAGGTACTGAGATGAGAGGAACCTTGCCTGGACTGTTATTTATTCATATATTTATTTTTCTATGAAGAAGTATAGGTATGTGCTATCTTCTCAATAATAATTCACTGGCCTATGATATTTAATCTTATTTTTTTTAAGTTAGCACACTTGGCAAGCAAGGAGGCATAGGCCTGCAATTCCAGTACATGGGAGGTTGAGGCAGAAGGATTGTGAGTTTGAGGTCAGCCTGGACAACTTAGGGAAATGATGTATTAAAAAATAAATTAAAAGGACATGAGGTATAACACTGGTAGAGCACTTGCCTAATGTGCAAGAATATGGATTCAATCCCAGAACCTCAGAAACAAAAACAGAATGAGTCATGCAGCCTTAACTTAGTAAAATTAAAACTTTTAACCATATTTTTTAAAAACCACTGTACATAGACAAAGATTAGATTCTGATCTGAAAACTTTCCAAGGAATTTATATAGAAGTTCCATTTCTATGTAGAAATTATTTAATATAAACATATTGCATAACTATATAGAGATATATCTAATTGTGATTCTATAACAAACATTTCATTTTTCAGATGTGGAGATTACTATAAAGAAGGCTTTATCAGTCAAGGATTTTGGCTAGATTAAGGAGAAAAGGAATTTAATTGGTTGTTGAAGAAACCACAGAAAGATTGGAGAATCAGGCTTGGAAAATGAACCAACGACCTAAGTAAGGGAGCTAGGTGGCAGGAAGGACTAGTCAAAGTCATGCTAAAGGGAGACACTACCATATGACTTTTGCTACTGCTGCTGCTTTTAATGATTTTCTTACTGGTAATATTTTTTGTGGGGCTAGCTGGAGTTTAAAGTATACAAGCTTGGTTGAGTCTTTGTTCTGGCTGAAGGGGAGATCTCTTCCCTTTGGCTTCTTCCTTTTAGCCTCTCACCAATACCCACCTAATAAGGAATCTGCCCCAAGTGAGTAGTGGGTTTTGGTCTAGGAAAACCCACACTCGAAGTAAAATCAAATAGCCTCCCTTTACAGATACCCATTAGAATGTATTTCTAAACAATTCTTCATGATGATAAATAGCTGTGTGCTACTGAAATATAAGGTAAAACTGCTAAAGATATCTCAAGTGTTCTGGAAAGTATATGATTTTTTCAGTTTTAAAAAGAGTTGTGGTAGCTTATTAGAGAAAGATGACTTTGTTTCTTTTCAGAGAAAAGCAATTTTAGGTATCCCTAAATTTTATAGTATAAGCATGACTAAAGAAATGAATGTATATTTTTCTAAGAAATAAAGTCACAGAAAGTAAAGATGATTGCCAGATATGCATATATTTATTTATTTTTCAGCATTTTACTTTGGTGGGCAAAAACATTTTATATCTAAAATGTGTCCCAAGATTTTGCTGTTCTTTATAACAAATTTAAAACCCAAATGTACACTAAACACACATATTCTCTTTGCTTTAAAACATCTCTGAAAAAAAGTTGAAAAAAAATCAAAGACCAGTGCTGCTAATAATTATATTTGTGTGCTAGCCAGTTTCCTGTAGCTCATAATTTTATTTATGGTACATTTCTTGAAATACATAATACATAAGAAGTTTTTCCCTAGATACTTATGTGTTACATGGGGAAATAATGTGTAAGTTGTATGAAAAATTATTTCAGGAATGTTTTATTACACATATGGATGCTTTTGATTCAAGGGTTTGTCTCCAGTAATTAATGTCTCAATTATAACCAGAGTTAGTAATATGAAATATAGCTCAAGTACACACAGCTGCCTTTTAGAAATAGAATTGTTTTTACAATCACAGCAAAATAGTCACAAGAATCAAATTTCTCAAATGTTCTCTAACCTGACATACATGAATGTGTATTGCAACAATGTGATTAGGCAAGAGGAAGTCAGTTTTYTATTGCAGAATTCATATGTCAGTAGCCAAAATAAAACTTGTTCTAGATTTTCAAATCCTCTTTTCCAGAACTTCATTTGTTTCGATATTTTAAAAAATTCTTTCTTTCAACKTGCTGTAATGAGAAAATGAGAGCTTTATTTACTAGACTGTTCTCATTTCCTTGGGAATACATAAAAAACATACATCAGGAAAGGGATGCTATCATAACCAAGGCACAGTTTAATAGAATATTTCACATGAAATTATAGCAGAATCTTTCTGCTTTCTTTTCTCAGAAGCTCTTTCCTGAATAAAATAGATTCTAACATGGGAGTAACAAGAAATTTACCTTGATTATAAAGCTTGCTTGCTTTGATCTGGGATTCAGACATCGTTGTCCTTTATGTGCTTTCAAGGTAATACTGTTAAGGGAAGATAAAAGTGAGTCTTAAACTTCACCTGGGAAAATAAATAAAACAAAAAAGCTCCACCATTGTCCTCTTCAGAAAGTGCATTACTTACATCACTTCAATTTTGTTACAGCTGTTACTTGGGTAGATGACAGAGGCTTTCTCAATATCTGTAAATTTCACTGCTTTTACTCCGGGGCCTATACAAAGACAGCGTCCCCCTTTGAACATAGGAAAGCCTAGGATAGATCAGAATATTGATTAGTAATACATCTGATTGCAACATATAGTTATTATCCTGGTGGTGAATGTGAGAAGAGTTTTCATAAAAGATAAAGATTGTAGTTTGTAGTAATCTGTCAAATAGCCCTTGATACCAATGTTATTGGTAAAGGAGTTAAGTAAGATGTTGATGATTTTCTTTTGAAATTTGTAAAAAAGTCATTAAAAATAATAGGACAGGGCTGGGGATATAGCTCAGTTTGTAGAGTGCTTGCCTCACATGCACAAGTCCCTACCTTCAATCCCCAGCACCAAAAAAGAAGTAGTACTAGTAGTAGTAGTAGTAGTAGTAGTAGTAGTAGTAGTAGTAGTAATTATAGTAACATGAAAGACTTTTATTGAAAGAAGCTTGTTTGTCTGTTGCTTTTATACTTAAGAATTTTTCCAAGAAGTTAACATAATACCACTTAAAGTCTTCTTTACAAACATTTAAAGCTATTTGTCAAGCATCTTGTCAGATATTGTAGCCAAAAAAAAAAAAAATCCCATGAAGTTTATCATCTCTAGATTTAAGAGTCCTCTCTAATGCCTTAAACATTTCCAACATTTTCTGTCAAAGCTATTAAGTAACTTCTAATATATGAGATTCAGTAAAAATTTACCATGTATTTTAGGATAAAAGTGAAAGAAAAGACATTGAAACATTACAAAAGGAGTTTATAGACTGAAGCAAAAAGTATCATATACCTTTAGTAATCGTAGCACAGACTATCACAGCCAAGAGAATAGCCATGCCCTTCACATTCATTCTGTTTCTTTGTTGCTGCTGCTGTTCGGCTTCACCTTTGGAACTCTTGGAGGGATTAGAAACACTAAACCTAAAAGGTAGTTCTTAATTGGTATATAAAGAGCATTTTATCCACCAGCCATCCTATTAGAGCAACTGGAATTTCCCTCCTCGAGTCATCTTCCTTTTTTGCTTCCAAGAGTTTCTATTTTATTCTCACCTCAGTGTCACTATCCCTTCCTATTTATTGTAGTATTGAAAGTGATATGAATTTGAAAGCACTTGATAAAGAGGGCATATACAGACAGGAACCAGCATTTCTGAAGGTAGTCTTTCCTAGAAATGCACTTAATTGTTAGACTTCCCTGGGCAGTGGGATTATGATTGCCATTCAGTCAGGAAGAAAGTCTTTGTAGTTCAGTCCTTTCACCCTTTGCACAATATGCAAAAGAACATTCTTAAAAATATTTTWAAATCATTTGACTTTTGCTTTTAAGTCTTAGTTGCTTATCATAGATAAGGCATATATTATTTTACACCAGGCAACCTTTAACTTTACATTTTTATCTATAATGTCATGTCCAAAGAAGTCTTCCTATACTTCTGTACTTGATGTTCATTTCCTTTTGCATTTTAAAGTTTTTTACCTTATACGTAYTTTAGCACTGACTACATAAAGTTGTATGAATTGTGTTACGGATTGTAAAAAAATTTTATCCTCTTTTTCATGTGATGTTTTTACAACTCTTAGATTCTACTTGGCTGTAATCCCTATTTTCTTTTTGTCCTTTCCTCTTAAGCTTTCTAAATCTATTTAAGTATGTCACTTGTGGACACCTAAAATCATATCCAAAAGATTTTTAAATGGGTGAATTTAATAAAGCATATTTACTATATAGCTGGTAATCTGTAATTTTTAAAAAGGTTTTCTTGCTATTTTTTTCCTCTAAGTGTTCTTTGATTTTTTTCTAATTGAAAAAAAATCCCCCCCCTCCCCCGACCATGGTGCTGGGGATTAACTCAGGACCTTGCATATTCCAAGCAAACTCCAATGCTGAGGAATATCCCTAACCCTCTAATTTTACATTTTAAATATTTCTTATGTGATTTGAAAGGAATCCATTGTTTTACATTTTGATATTAAGCTTTAAAATTCTTTATAAAGATTTTTTTACATGAAATTTTCTAATTATTTATATCAATCATAAATAATATCTTCTATTTTCTCCCTATTATATCTATAGTTTTGAACCATTTCTTCCTATCATTGGTATAATTTGGGATTTTATATATTTTCAGATTWCCATTTTATATTACTATATTGAAATCATATCTTTATTTGGACACAAATTCTTTTTTTTAAATTTTTTTAGTTGCCAATGGACCTTTATTTTATTTATCGATACATGGTGCTGAGGATCGAACCCCTCACACATGCTAGGCAAGTGCTCTGCCACTGAGCCACAACCCCAGCCCTGGACACAAATATTTTTAACAACCATTTCAGTCTTTAAAACCTCTGAAAGTCTTTTTTTTTTTTTATTTATTTTTTAGTTCTCGGCAGACACATCTTTGTTTGTATGTGGTGCTGAGGATCGAACCCGGGCCGCACGCATGCCAGGCGAGCGCGCTACCGCTTGAGCCACATCCCCAGCCCTGAAAGTCTTTAATAAGCATCTAAGTAGCTGTAACATTCTTTCTCATTTATTCAGTTCTTTAACATAATGTAAGACTAATTTTCCCATAGGTGTATGGGTAAGGTCAAAGATACACATATGCTCTGGGAGCTCATAAATACTCAACCCATTATTTTTTCTTTAATGTTGCTTCTCATTCTCTGAGCATTGGAAACGCAGTACAGCATAACTGTTAACAGGGAAGTCTGTGGTGTCAACCTGTGTGTGTACAAATCCAAGCTCTTATTTTATTAGCTGTGTGTTCCTGAGCAAGTAGCTTACCTTTTTGAGCCTTTTTTTTCATCTATAAATGGGGGATAATAAAAATACTTTTTTAAAAGATCTGTTACAAGCTAAATATTAAAAGAAGTAATGCACATACATCATTTAGAAGTATCTGACACTCAAAAAGTATTAATTGCTATTATTATTATCTCTAATATTACAATGTTCTTTCTTAAATTGACATATCACATCTTACTCAGTATTAGCATAAGCATGCCCACTTAATAAAAGATTGGATGATATTGTTATATGATACAAAAGTATTTTAAAATTGTAATTGTAAATGTTAAAATAGTCTGCTCTTCTTGAAAATTTTAAGTAGTCTTGTGTACAAACACACAGCATGGTTTTAAAAATATAGCAGAACAATGGTAACTATTCTGTTTACCTAAAGTATTACACTGTCATGTAGCTTTAATGTTAGATAACTTTTAAACAGAAATTTCTCTCCCTGCCTCTTCCCCCCAACCCTTCGTCTCATACTGAAGACTGAACCCAGGACCTCATATATGCTACACAAATTCTCTACCATTGAGCTGCATCTCTAGCCCTATTTATTTTATTTTGAGGGTCTTAGGTTGCCCAGGCTGGCCTCAAAATTGTGCTCCTCCTCCCTCAGCCTCCAGATAGTTGGGATTTCAGGCCTGTGCCACTACACCTGGCTAGTAATTTGCACTTAAAAAATTTAAAAGTCCCTAGAAAATTATATTATGTAACATTTTTTAAGATTATACATGGATACTGTGTTTATAGATACTTTAGGAAGAGGCATGGCCGAAGACCAGGAGAGGAAAAAAGTATCCTCCCTCCTCCTCTATAAGAAAGACTAATCCATAGTCCACAGGGAGGGTGCTGCTGCTGCTTGTGTGTGACCCTAGAATAGAGGAACTAATCCTACCCATGTGGGTATGGCCTTGTCTGCTTTTTCTTGGAGCCAAATCACAGAATGAATGCTGAGGAAAGTTTATTTAGTTCTTCGCTTCAAGCCTTYAAGCAATCCAAAATTATGCAGGGTTGGAAGAACAGTTGGTTTCATGCTGTAACCTTTTCACCTCATTTCCCTGAGCCATATAAAAAATAAGCCTTACTATGCTTTGGCTGGTGCTAATATAATGTATATGGGTGTTTGCTCCTTCCTTAACACACACTCCCTCTTCAATGCCTTTTCTTYCCTGTGTTCCTGCTTTACATTTTTTCCTGGAAAGCACCACCACTTTCTGTAGTTAATTTGCTCACCTAGTCATTCACTCATGAAATGTTTACTTTAGGTATATGTCACATGCCTGGCCTCTTAAAGTTATGGATGATAGAGCATTGAACAAAACCAATCAAATTTCTTTTTGTATATTGTAAATTTTGACACTTTGCTGCCATATTGTATTGGCCTGATTTTTGCTGACTCTGTAGACATGTGGGACCAAGTATGTCTTCAGGATTGATTCTGATTGTAAATACGAAATACTCCTTGACATAACATGTAGATTTTCTTTGAGAACATTCCCTCATCTAGTAAGTCTGAGAGATCTCCTATTCTGATTATAAAATTTGGTTCATCTAGCATGGAATGCACTTTCCTCTCCTTTTCTGAATCCTTTCATTCAAATCTGGATATCTTTGTGAAGTCTTACCTTTATGAAACTTTCTTGATATCATATTGCGCAATATGATTCTTTTAACTTCATAGAACTAATTGCCTTGTCTGTTTTATCCGGTAGAAATATAATACAGGCCACATAATTTTAAGTATTCTAGTGGCCACATTTAGAAGGTAAAAAGAAACAGATGAAAGTAATTTAAATGATATTTTTAATCTAAAATATGAAAACTAGGGCTGGGGATGTGGCTCAAGCGGTAGCACACTCACCTGGCGTGTACGGGGCACTGGGTTYGATCCTCAACACCACATAAAAATAATAAAGATATTGTGTCCACCTAAAACTAAAATAAATAAATAAATATTTTAAAAAATAAAATAAAATATGAAAACTACTTCAATGTGTAAGCAATATAAAAATTAAATGAAATATTTTTATATTCTCTTTTTTAGTACTAAGTCTTTGAATTGAACTAGCCACATTTAAAATGCTCTGTAGTCATTTGTGGTTAGTAGCTACTGTATTGGACAATGGGGATCTAGTTATTCATTTGGCATTTAATATACATCATCTTGATTTTTTTATTTAAAACTAAGCTAGGAAAGACTAGGTTAGATACCTTGAATTTTTTTTTCTTAAAGACAGTTCTTCGTTTTCCCCAGTTTTCTTCTTTTCCTCTCTTCCCTAAATCAGTATGCCTCATTGTTCATTTTCTTTTGATTAAATGCAAAAAAGATTAAGCTACATTCTCTTTTTAGTAGTGTTGGCCTCTGTTGTTGTTTCCGGAATTGGACTATTTTCTGTTTTATATTCCTAGGTCTACCCCTTCAAATAAGTTTCCTTTCAATTTAAAGGAGCATCCCAGGAAATGAATCTAGTTTCCATAATTAATCACCAGAGTTTTTTCCAGCTTAAAAATTTCATAATMTGTGACTCATCTAAAGTATTAGCAATGCTGCCAAATTATTCACTTAATGTAAAATTTTACAATTTGCTGGGGCGAGGATCAGTGATATAGCACTTACCTAGCATGTCTGAGACCCTAAGTTTGATCCCCAGCATGGGGTTGGGGAGTAGGGAGTTTTAAAGTTCACTTAAAGATAATTCCCATGCTTGCTTCAGCAGCATATATTCTAAAATTAGTACAATATAGAGATTAGTATGACCCATGTACAAGAATGACATACAAATTCATAAAGCATTTCATACTTTTATGTATAAAAAATGATCAACATTCCTAGCAGAAAGGAAAATGCAAATGAAAACTACACTGAGAATTCCTCTCATTCCACTTAGAATGGCAATCATCAAAAATACAAATAATAATAAATTCAGACTAGGATGCAAGGAAAAAGAAATACTTGTACACTGTTGGTGAGACTGCAAATTAACATAACCACTATGGAAATAAGTATTGAGATTCCTTAAAATAAGACTAGGAATGGAATCACCATGTGACTCAGCTATTCCACTCCTTCATATCTATCCAAAAGAACTAAAGTA